AGGGGGAGCACTGGGGACAGAGGGGGGCACTGAGGACAGAGGGAGGAGCACTGAGGACAGAGGGAGGAGCACTGAGGACAGAGGGGGAGCACTGAGGACAGAGGGGGCACTGAGGATGGGGGGGAGCACTGAGGACAGAGGGAGGAGCACTGAGGACAGAGGGAGGAGCACTGAGGACAGAGGGAGGAGCACTGAGGACAGAGGGGGAGCACTGAGGACAGAGGGAGGAGCACTGAGGACAGAGGGGGAACACTGAGGACAGAGGGGAGCACTGAGGACAGAGGGGGAGCACTGGCCAAGCATTCATGGGGCTCCAGGTTCCACGATGCGCGCTGCACAAACCAGGTGTGGGGAGTGAGCGAATGAGTGGGTGAGCGGCTGTGTGAACTGGCATAAAGTTCTCAGTGACTGACAGGACACTCGCAGGGATCCTCAGGTGGGAGGGCCACCATTGTCACTCATCCCAGCTCCCTGTTCACAGCTGAGAAGACCTCGGAGCCTGTCAGTCCTGGTGGCCCTGACACCTGTCCTCCCTCCGCAGCCAGGCTGGGATGGGGCTCGCTCCTGTCCCACCCTGTCTGCTGTGACCAGACAGCCCTGGCATGGAGTGGGTGGAGGCCAGGGATCCTTCTCAGCACCCACAGGGCCCACAATGCCCCATTCTCTATGACCCGGCCACGTACATGTCCGGGATGCTCCAGAGGGACCCTGGTCTAGACCAGAAGTCGACAACTCGTCAGTCAACCCCCAGACTTTGCGCACAGGTAACTGAACAGCCTTCAGAGACCGGACTTTGAGCAGCAGAGGTGGGCTGGGCTAAGTCAGGGGGCCAGGTAGGCAGAGGGAGGGGCCGAGCCAGAGTCACGGGAGCATGGCGGGTGGGGATGGGGATGGCAGAGAGCTGACCAGGAAAACGGCAAAGAGGCTGGAAAGAGCAAGAGCCAAGAAGGAAGCAGGCACGGGCACCACCCTGTCCGTGGCTGCTGGGAGGTGAGGCAGTCAGGTGTGAAAGTGCGGACAGAGGCAGTGGCAGTGGGGATAAAGGAACAGAGCTCAGACCTGGTGGACAGAGAAAGAGTGATGTTCACATTGGTCAGCTGCCCGCCCATCATGGCCGCAGGCAAGACTAAGCCTGAAGAAGGGTCAGGAACTCCGAGGATTAAGGCTTACGTTGGCAGACCTGAGTCCTAAGGACTCAGAGGTGAGTAGCTGCACGGGACATGGAAATGAAGAAGTCTGAGGGACCACCAAGGGGAGGGCACCACTCATACAAAGGCCCTGGGGCAGAGGACACAGCTCCGCAAAGGCACTGCCGCAGGGCCAAAGCCCTGCCAACTAAAGGCCTGTCCTGGTGTCCCCACCACACCAAAGATCTCCCACCCACATCTAGGATGTCCACCCCTGCCCTCACGTCCCTCCCTCTCCCCGCACACCCACGCAGTCCCTCCCTGTGCTCCACATTTCCCACAGAGTCTGGGCACTGCCGTGGGAGATCCTGTACATGGAGTGGGGCGCACACTCGGGCGGCAGGCAGAGCAGCAGGAAATGATAAAAAAAAAATCACCTAAAATCATTTCGAGAAATAAAAGTGCCATGGAGGAAATGAACCTGAGACAACCTGGGGTGGGGATGCCCTGGAGAGGACACGATGGAGCCGCACCCCTGAAGGAGGTGAGGTAGTCCACAGAGCTCGAGTACAAAGGGCCTGGGGCACGGGGCGCAGCCTGAAGAGCAGGGGGATCCTGGCCTGTGGGAGTAGTGAGTAGACCAGATCAGAGGGAGGAGGGGCCAGGGCAGTTCTGACCCTGAGGGAGGTGGGAGCCCAGGGGGGCTGTGGGCAGAGACCCTAGGGAGGAGACTCCCTTTGCTTGCTATGGGGAAGACAGACTGTAGGGTTCTGGGGACACCAGGCAGAGCAGACAGTGTCACAGTCGACCAGGACTTGTCCTGTTATGCTGTCATACATGCTGTCATACCTCAGGGCCTTTGCACGGCTGTCCCTCTCTGCATACATCCTCAGGGCAGTCCCCTCCCCGGCAGGGCAGCGCTCATACCCATCTGCACTCGCTCCCACCCGCCGGAGTTTTCTCTCCACTCCTCAGGACCTCATACTGAGTTTTACTTCATGCCATGGAAGAGCCATCATGTCCCACACCAGACACCAATCTGGGACCCCGCAGGGGCAGGGCTCAGGGACACCTGACTAGTTCCTAGTATCCAGAGTGTCTGACACACAGCAGGTGCATAATAAATGCTGACTGAGGGCTGGCAAGATGGCTCAGTGGGTGAGGATGCTTGACGCTGCCAAGCTGGATGATTTGAGTTCAGTCCCTGGACCCATGTGGTGAAGGAAGACAGAAAAAAATTAAAATAAAATGAATAAATAAACAAACGGCTGGGCCTCTTTAATCCCAGCACTCAGAGGCAGAGGCAGGCGAATATCTGTGAGTTTGAGTTCAGCCTGGTCTACAGAGTGAGTTCCAGGACAGCCAGGGCTACACAGAGAAACCCTGTCTCAAACAACAGCAATAAATAAAATAAGCTTTCACTGGAGGAAGAAAAAATAATACATGAACAGGACAATACCTGGTACACAGTCAGTGCTTAATAAGTGCTTATTGAGGACTGGAAATGCAACTGAGTGGACAGAGAGCTTGTCTGTCATACATGAGGCCCTGCGTTGAACTCCCAGTGCCAGGATGAGAGAGGTGGGACGGAGAAAGGGAGAGGGGAGAGGAGAGAGAGAGACAGAACCAGGAGAGAGAAGTGTTTATTGACACAATTAAGCAATGAACAGGCAAAATATAGCAGGTCACGCACAGTTTCAGATTTTATTTTTTGCTTTTTATTGTTGTTGAGACAGGATGTCACACACAGACCAGGCAGGCCTTGCACTATGTAACCCAGGATAACCTTGAACTTCTGATCCTCCTGCCTCTACTACCTAAGAGTGTCAGTTTCCTCTTATCCAAGCTACTTGAGAAGCTAAGGCAGGAGGATCTCTCTCTCTCTCCTTTTCTTTTCTTTTCTTTTTCTTTCTTTCTTTCTTTCTTTCTTTCTTTCTTTCTTTCTTTCTTTCTTTCTTTCTTTCTT